CTGGAAATTGAAGTCCACCCGTCTTAAAGTTGCCAAGGTTGAGGAACCCTGATTTATACCATCTATACATGCAGGTTTATCATTTTTCAATGTTCTTACACCATTTATGACTTCCTTTTCATCATTTTTTTCTTGGACACTAACATTCATAACATGTGTCTCAATCCCACTCTTTGATATATTGCTGTCATTCCCATACAAATTTCCAGCATTCCCTCATTTCAGTTTCATCCCAAATAATTTATCACTTCTATTTTTAATTCTAATCACTCTGCTGAAGACTTTTTCTTTAGCCCTTTTCACTTACTTCAAAAACAATGCTTAATTTCTATCAAAATCAATCTGCATTTCTTGTCTCTTTTACTCTTAAGTGTTCCTTGCTCTCTCACACTATGTTCTCTGCAACTTCTTTGTATGCACATTTCTCTTATTTTCATTTTTGCAGAAATTATGTTTTCTCATCTGTAGCTTTTTCATTTTATCGTTCCATGAAGCATCTCTTTTCATACTTATCAACATAATTCCACATACTTCTAATTCTTAATCTGTTCCAAGCAACGTATTATTTCTTTATGTCCACTTTCCATTTATTCTGTTGGGAGATTAAAATGACTTCTCTTTCAGCGCACACACATATAGAGAGAGGGGCTGAAATTAATAATTAGTGTAACAAGAGTGAGATTTTTTCTTATGTTGAAGATCTGGAAATGCTATTCAGTTCTGGGCCTCAAAACCAATATATTTAAGATTTTTTATGTTTTTGGGTTGGTAGGTGAGTTGGTTGACTGCATTTGACTCCAAGTAGCGGATGTTAAGGTTCTGATGACAAGCAAAACAGATCTGGCAAGCCTGAAATTTGCTCAAGCCTGTTCAGCAAAACCAGGAGTACCCTCAGAAGAGCTTTAGGTAAAGATGATGATGATTCCAAGGTCGCTGCACCCTTAACAAGTCCAGGTCTCTGTGATATAGTATTTGCTGCAACATTTTCCTCTTTTTAAATGTCTCCACTTCAGGAGATGCAAAAAGCCAGTTGAAGTACTTGAACAAAACCACTCCTCAGAAAGCATTAGGCTCAAGAACTGTAAGCATCAAGTCACCTTGATGTTAATGCAACCGATTTGAAGCTGCCTCAAAAATTAAGTTGGCTGAGATCCCTTTGGCGGGTGGTAGCAGAAGATGCACATCCCAGCAGCAGCTGCTTTGTCAAACAGATATATTGCAGCACTGTTGGGTATTTTAAAAAATTGTAACTGAAAAAAAAATACAACAGTGTGAAACTTCTGAACTAGACACCCAGAGGGGACAGGAGATTTGTTTGTTACTAGGGATACCTGGAATTAAAGGCAATATAATACTAAGGGATAAGAGAAAGGCCAGAACGAAAAATGATCAAGATTAGCAAATGATGGGGTCATGGAAAAAGATGGAATTTTTAGCATTCGCTCTGATATACTTCTCTGTAGATTGTTAAAGTGAGATAAGTAGATACTAAAGTGAGTATAGTCAAGTGCTTGTCCTACTGTGAAAAGAACTTCTAAATTTGCTTCCCTAAGGGGAAATGGGCTATAAAGTAGAAAACACTTTGGACACTGCATCTTAATGGACTCAGACTTTTAGATGGACCATGGAGTGCTAGAAGAGCAACCTGCTTTGCATACAGAAGCTCCAGATTCATCTCCTGTCATTTCCAGTTAAATGGATCCAATAAGCAATAAAGAACCCTGAGAAGTTGCTGTAAGGACCTGGAGAAGTGCTCCCCGTCAAAGGATAGGATGGTTCTGCACTAGATAAATAATTCAAGCTGGTATTAGGCAGCATTTTATGTTTCTGATGAACGTGTTACTAATTGCTAACGTGAACTTGCAGGGTTGTTTGAGAATAATAATTGTGGGGGAAGAATCACATTCACTGCTTTGAGCAGGACTGGACAACATGGGAACCAATGTCCTTATGGAGATCTCTTTTAGTGTTCACTAAGTTTCTTACCTTACCTAACTTTCAATTTTCTTTTAGAAAGTTATATTTAAAAGTCTATGTGGGATAGTGGTGAAGATCTTGGACTAAGAAGATCTAGGTTCAAGTCTATCCTCAGCCATAGAGTCTTGCTGGATGACTTTGGGCCAGTCTCTCTCTTTCAGCCCAGTATATCTCACACAGTTATTGCTGCAAGGGAAACGGGAGGAAGGAGTGTTATATATGTTGCCTTGAGCTCCTGAACCAAAGGCGGGATATAAATCTAGTGAGAGAAGAGGACAGGTGTCGGAGCACCGCAAAACAGCACAGCACAACTCCACCATTATCTTTATTCTAGTAATGCCAGACTTTAACCCGCTAGTTTGTTTTGGAAAGTACCCATCTGCCCAGAAAGAGGGCACCAGAAAGTTGGGGTGGAGAAAAGTGGTAATAGAGTGGCAGGAGTCTTTCTTTGTGTGTACTGTAAGCTGCCTAAAGTCTTTTGGGAGTTGGGCGGTCTCCAAATAAAATAAAATAAATAAAGCATCAGCATGCTTTCTGGTGGATTGATGGAAATTTCATAACTGGCCATCACTACCACAGCAGACACATGCCCACATCATACTTTCAGAATTCATGGCCACTGGCCCCAAATCATTTCCCATCCTATCCTGGAGCTTCTTGGCAGAAATACTTTGCTTAGAACTCTTAGTTTTGCCTGGACCTTACTTCTTGTCTGTCTTGAGAAACTGTGCCTCTTGTTTTGAACTCTGGCTCTCAGGCTGAAGTGGAAACCCTATTAAGTCTCACCTGCATTGTTCTGGCACTGACAAATGTTTCCTGCTAACCATGAAGTTCAGCCTGTAGTGCCAACAATACTGGAAACAAAATGGGGCCCCTTTAAAATGGCAGACATATAGAATGCCTTGGGGGAACTCTAAGGCTTGTAGCAATATCCCCAAAACCTTTATTTAAAATAATTGTTTGACATGGTTCAATGGATGGGCATGCCTGGCATCTTGCCTGAAGGGAGGCATAGCTGGAAACCTGATGTGGAATGAAAAAAATAACACTAACAGCAACAGTAGTAATAATTTGACCAAATAAAAATTATTGGAAAAAAGAATGAAAAAAAGAACTGTAATTTTATGCTAAGTTGAGCTCAGCTCTGGTGACTACATCTGTTTTTTTTTTTTTTTTTATCAACAGTTATGATACACTACTGTCTTCTTCTAGGATGTTTTCCAACTTCCTTCTGCCTTGGGATTTCCTAGTCGTCTCCCATCCAAACACTAAACAGGACTGACCCTGCTTCCATTACAGGTGGGCTTGGTGCTGCCACCTACTGATGCTTCAAGATTACTTCTTTCAAATGCTGTTAAGAAAGTTGACAAGCGAGGACAACTTCCACTGATGACCGGCATCTGCAAGTAATTGCTATCCTACGAAGTTCCTGCTCAATATTTCAGTCTTCCTTACGTTCTTTTTTGTCATACGCACACACAGGTCACAAGCATTCATGGGTGGGGCCCAGGAAGGCAGACCTTTTCTGTTGTGGCACCCACCCTTTGGAATATCATCATCCTGAAGATCAGACTGGCCCCTACTGGCTTTCTGTAAGACCTTAAAGACTTGGTTTTGCCATTGTCCTTTGGGAACCAGGTATGTGGTAGAACCTGTACAGTGGCTATGTTGATTGTTGTTGGCAATTCTTGGTAGATCTTGCCTACTGATTATGTCATTATATGGCTTTTATTGTTTTTTGTATTTTTTAATATAGTTTTAATTGCTGTGAGCCACTCAGAGTTATATATTTGAGATGGGTGGCTATATAAATTGAATAAATACTAAATAAATATTCAGTCTTCATTGGATTGTTTTTGCTGGTTCCTCTTTGGTTTTGCTCTTAAAGTGGCTATATGTTTCCCCAAACCTGATGGATTTTCTCAGGCAATCTGATCCCTCTCACTAGTTTCTCAGTAGTCTGGATCAGGGATATAAGTGGTGATAACTTATTAGTAAGTAGTATGCAAACCCATGCAAGTGGGTCAGGCTGCCCACACAGAGGTTAAAGGTCAGGACTTGCAAGCAAATTTGGTTCCATTCTCAAGCTTCACTTTAACAAGGAGGCTTCTACTCATGGTCATTTCAAGGCTAACAGAAAACCTGGTATGATCCAAAACTTTGTCAACTGGGGCCCTTAAGGGCCTTAAGGAAGTAGGAGATATTCTCAGCAGAATGGCCTTCCTCCTCAGTGCAGGATATTGAGGAGCAAGCAGGAAGGAAGGTGCAAGCAGGATGCAAGCCCAAAGAGGGCTTGTACACACCAGTGTGTATCATATCAGACACACACATGCACACAGATGGCCTGGTGACACATGAGCAAGAAATTAGTAGAATGACTGAAAAGGGAGTAGCCCTAAGCAGGTTGTGACACATGAGGAAAAATGATATACAGTAGAAGTGTTAGGAAAGGTGGAGGGTTGGAATCAGTGAACACTCTACCAGCAAGGATGACTCCAAAAGGGTCTCTTGATGTGTTGAAAGTCACTCCCGCAGTTTATGACATTTGTTCTCCTCTTGAGGTGACTTATGCCCGTTAAGTTGGTGGCAAGTTTAGTCCAGATTCTGAAGATAACCCCTGAAGCACTCTTGTGTTTCAAGCCAAAAACAGTTCTACTTTCACATTTGCTGTTTGTGCAAAGGAGACCTTGATGTCTCAGCTGCCACACCCCTGGCTTGTAGAAATAA